TAGACAAAAAAAATACGGTACCCCCGTCAAAGTTATCAGACTACGTCCGAGAGCCGCTGGAGACCCACAAGAAAACTGCAGGAGGCCAGCAGGAGACCACCAGGATACCACCCAGCGCCCACGAGCAGATCCCACAAACCACCAGGAGACCACCAAAAGTCTTTCCCCCAAGCGTTGACGTATTCCGTACCATGGACAGCATAGGCTTCTGGCCAAAATGCTTTCTGGGTGATCCAGGAACATAGACAAAATCACCACGGTGCGCATCATATGTGCGTCACCCCCCTCTCGAGCAATGTAGCAGCCGATCCCGCGAATCTGCTGCTGATCGACTGCAGTCGGGCTCACATGCACCGCGCCCGCTCCAAGAGAACGCACGATCCAGGACCATTGCGACTGATGCGGATCGGCAGAAGGTTCGGTTGGGAAATGTTGGGAAACATGAATCCCAGCTGGTCCTACAGTAGCTGATGCGCGGTCATCTGCAATTGCTCCTGAGCAGATGCCTCTGCAGCGTGTGCCTCGTTTTCATCTTTTTCTGCGTCTGCGCCCATCTTGGCGAAGTCCCACATTCGAAAGCTGCCCCACAACATCCCCTCTGTTGCCAAGCCTGACTAGTTTGGAGGCGTTGTGGCATTGGATTTCGAACGGCTTCAGTGGACCATGATGGTGCCTGACTGGACAAACTGGGCTGGAGTAAGCGGACATTGACAGAAAATGCCTGGGCTCCCTCCACAATTAATATGCGCTGGGAGAGCTTCGTCTGTAAGTGAGGGTCCACGATACCCTAACCCCTAAACCCCAGTAGGCTTTAGGATGGTTTAGGGAATCGATCCGGCCGAGCACGTTAAAGGGGCCCCCCGGTCCGGCTTGCCCGCGGCGGTGGGAGCCGGGAGATTCGGAATGGCAACCGCCATGGCCTCCCAGACAACCTGCGCTGGTAAACTTGCTTTCAGTCCGAGTGCCCGAGTCTGAGGCAGGGACGTTTTGTCACCTGGAGAGGCCCGGCCTGTCATCTGAAACACATGGCTTGAAGCAAACAGCATGGCTCGGAATAGCGACGAAAGGGTTGCTGCAGGCGAGCCACTCCGTGGCTCCACACCCCAAGGGGTGGTGGGTCGTCTCAACAGCCTCCCTGCATTACTCACCCACTTCCTCTAAAGCTCGGGCCGAGAAGTCGCGCAAGAGGCTTTACAAAGGAGCTCCTGACCCACTCGCAGTTTGCAAGGCGTTGTCGATTCTCAAACGAACTGTGCAGTTCCAGGGCAATCTTGCATTTCCTTTTTCAGACCTTCACAGAAGTGTGCCTGCACTGAGGTCGAACATGTGCCGCGCAAGGCACATGACACCATTCATCGGCTATCTCACATTCCTGAAGGTCGGGCACGTGCGATTGAACCACAGAAGCTTGAGCTTGGCTGTCAAGCAACGGCAGTGGCAGGTTGTTGTGCAGATCGCCCTCCACCCACTGCGAGAGGCTTGGCCTGTGAAGTGCAGAAGGGCCTGCAATGCCGGAGAAGGCTCGAATACAATCGTAATCTCTCGGCGCCAGCATCTTAACGCCAGACGACCACACCCAAACCTCACAGAGCCACAAGGTCCTTAGATAACCCAACCCAGCGAGAAGGTGCTGGCCATAGTCCACTCCGCGGGCTGCGACGGCAGCCGCACTTAAACATTTCCGCAAGAAGCTCCTCTTGCTTGTGATGGCCTTTCCCCATCGTCAGCTCTCAGCATAGCCGTGCATCCAATCAAGGTAATGCAATGCAGTCGCGACGGCGGCTGGCAGCAGAAGCCTTACATAAATTCAACTAGCTACAGGTTCGAGAGGATCAGTCCTCCTTTATACCGGAGGTGCAGAAACGAATCGAGTTCGGCCAGACTGTAAGACAGACTCTGATGGGGCCAAGCTGACAGAAAAGGACTCCGACTGGGTCGCCTCGTGCAACAACGTCAGCGTCAGCCTCGTATTCTGCTTGGAGAAGGACTTTGATTTGTCAGGTCCCCAATCTTTATCGTCGATGTCCTCCATTTCCTCGTGCGCATCTGCTCGCCGTTGGTGTTCCTCTTTTTGTCTCCGAGCTTCCTCCTCCTTCTCGCGCTCCTCCGCTTCTGCCCTCTGCTTCTCCAGCTGGCGCTCCCATTCTTCTTGGAACCTCTGTGCTTCCCGTCTGTCGAGCGCCCGGCGAATCAGCACCACAATGACAATCAGAATCGCCACAAGCACTGCCGCACCGGCAATCACCACTCCGAAGATCTCTTCTTGAAGGTCACTAGGCCGAGAGAGACAAAGGAGGTCCCGACGGGCACTTCCATACTCATCGTCCTGATGATAATAGCAAGTCACGGGATCTCTCCAGGCCCAAATTCGAAACTTGTCACATTTCTCCCTCTCCAGAAAGCCTGTGAGAGCAATGTCTTCGTGCTCACAAGGCACGCTAATGTGGCAAGGTTGCAGCACGAAGCCCTCGGTTCGCTCGGCGGAGGCATCGTAGAAACGCCTGATGAGGTAGGTCCCTGTAACTTCCGTCACCACGCCCTTCTTGGTTTCGAACGCATCCGGCAGCGCCTCTATCTGACAGTCACCTTCAACATACTCCATGTTGCGTAGAAGACTGGACACCAGCAGAACAGATGCTACAACAAAGCCGGAGATTGGAATTATCATCAGAGAGCTGATCAAGATGGCAACCGCCGTCTTCCAAGTAGGAAGGAGATCCAAGAAAGGATCCCAATAGGCAAAAATGAAAATGCGCCAGGCACGGACATACTTTCTCTGAAGCGGTGATCGTATGACATCACCGGTGACTTTGCTCTGGTCTTCCTTGTCCATTTCATCCAGAATCTTGTCAAGATTAGCCCACATCTCAACGCGAGATTCTTTCCAAACCTCGTATGTGGAGCCCTTGGCTAGTGCATGGGCACACGCATTATCAGGTTGTGGAACAAACGCGGGCTGAAATACTGCCTCGAACCGAGCAAAATGCTGTGAGAGTCGCAGGACTTAGGAGCTCGTGTCGGGATTACATACATGCAAAGGTACGTCCATGCACAGATGGCATCGTCTTTACATGGTATTTTGGGTATTAAGCAGGGCCGAGCATCCCAGTTCCAGGGCAACCAGGCCGTCCAATCCAAGGCCGCGAGACCGGTGGGCTCCGGAGCCTCGGAGAAGCTGCTGTCTCCGCGGGCAAGTGCTTTGGCCATAAAGGACTTCGACGCCCGCAAGCCACTCTGGCCCCGCTGCAGGGTGCCATGCCGTGGCTGCTCCAGCTCCGCAGGCTCCGCGGCATCAGAGGTCATTTCCCGGCGCAGTTCCCGGAACCTCTCCCTCGCAGAGGCCTTCTTCTGTTCCTGCTCTGCCTGAGGCAGGCGAGGGTGCGCCACTTTGATGGTGCTCTTGGGCTGGTGGCTGGGGCCTTGGGAGAAGCGGATGGAGGTGCCACTCCTGCTCATTGACGAGCGGCCTGCTGCCATACTGCCGCTTCGGGAGAAGCCTCGGGACATCGAGCGTGCGCTCTTCTTCCTCACCGGCTTTGAGCGCGAAGTTGATGTTGGTTCGTCTGAATCTGAGCTTCCACAGCAACAGCGGGAAATTGCCAGCAAAAGGACGAGGGGACAGCAAAGGCAACGGATGGCAAAAGCCACGTGCTTGCATCTGGACTCAAAGCCAGCCCAAAGCCATGACAAAAGTCTGAGGAATCGGACACAGGGCCTGCAGCATCGTGCGACGCGCCTTGAGCAGGCTCCACAGGCCCGGAACCGCGAAAGCACTCCGAAACCACAGAGGCGGAACTTTCGCCGGCGAGGGCTCGGGTCGCCGTCGCCGCTGGGGTCGCCTGGGTCACTGGGCTCTTTTTCGCTTCGCTTGGGAGAGAAGCTGTCGCCGCCCTCTGCCCAGTCGCGCCCTGGCGACCTCGGGGAGCGGGGGCTCTCTGCCCCGGAAGTTCTTCTTGTCCAGGAGCGAGACAGAGACATCGTGGATGCCGCCTTTTTGGCGGCTCTTTCCTTCATGATGGCTGTTCTGGTCTGAATCGCTTCCTCTCTTTCTGACTCGTCGTCTGGATACTCTGGATAGAGATCGTCTCCCGCCTCCTTTTCCAGAGCCACAGCCTCGGGATCTGCGGGCTCAGCCTCGTCATCGGAGCCCGGCGCCTCGACATCTCCGCCTTCCCCGCCTTCCTCGCTCCGGGTCCCGTCGCTGTCGGAGCTGGAGCTGGAGGACTCGGACTCGGACTCTTCCCTCATTCCCGGGAAATCCCCCAGAGAGGTAGGGCCTCTGGCGCTGCCTTCCCGGCCATGCTGGACGGGTCTATATTCTATGGAGTCGTTCCGGTCTCATACACGATCTTGATGCTGTGACCTTCTTGCTGAACCTGTACATATCCTGGAAGCTATCTGACTGGCTCAGTGATCGCGTCCTCGCAGGACTGATGTCTGACGAACATGTGTGCTAATTAATTCGGGCTACGCTGAAGCCGAAGCCAGCAGTGTCCAACAACATGCAGCGGTTCTCATCGCGTCGTAGATCTCCCACTGCTGCAGCTTCGTTACTTAGAATTCCGATCCGAGGCCGACGAAACGCCCCCGCCCTGCACTTTTCCGTGCATGCTAAACTCGCAGGTCTCGGCATCCTGAAGGGAACCAAAAATGCCAGTCACGTCCGGGCAAGATTGGGTTAAAGCTGCCTGGTTCTCCGAGTCACAGAGTCCGCAGCACTGTACTAAGTGATGGCTGCATCCCTCAGGCTGCCAATTTGCTCTCCTGAAAACTTCGCATTCGGCGCTCCGGCTGCAAAGATCAAAGGTCAAGTGCAGGCAAGTTGCGATAAAGTCGGCCAAGTCCTACGATCGCATGATGGCGGACAAAAACGGATGTCTCAGATGACCCAAAGCTGGAAAGGCCAGCTGCCAGTCGACAAAACACCGCCAGCTCCTTCACTGTCTGGAGTTCAACCGGCATGGGGAAATTGATCCACGTGCCGGCGAGGATGGTCAGGAGTTCGATGCCGAACTCCTCCACGAAAAACACGTCTTGAAGTTGATGAGACCCTGCATGAGGGCATATGAGGAATCCCAATGTCCTTCTCCAGTGCCAGCGCAATGTTGGCGACCTGCTGTTCACCTTCACCAGAAGCGTTACACTGCGCAGGGCCTCTGAGGGGGGACATCTGTTTGGTGCTCTTTCCTGTGGGCAGCCAGGGAACCGATGCTGTGGGTGTGCCCTTCCAGAATGAAGCCAACCATGGGAAGTGGCATCGATGGCTCGGCTGTGGTGCCTGACATCTCCGTCAGCACCCGCTGAACCTCCAGGGACCGCAGCACTGGCTGGCCACAGTCACTCCTTCAGCTTTAGCTTGTAGTACATTGACTTCCTGATGCAGCTGAGGCACTCTAGACAGCGTCTCCGCTGACGCTTGGAGGGTGATCCTCTGAAGTGCAACTGCAACGCCACGTCTTGTTGCCACTAATTACCGCTGCTTGCTTCTCCTCCTCTTGACAGATCCCCTGTACTACCCGACCGTCCCCTCCTCTTCCAATGGCTTCCTCAATTTCCCAGTCGGACTCAGACGCTGAGGGGCAGGCCTGTCGAGCCGCGCGGTCTTGCGCAAGCTGGAGTCGCGCATGCTGGCGCAGTAGGCGATATCCTTCGGTCATCTTCGGTCTCGCATGACTCCAAGATCACGGAAATTGCTGAGACTGTCGTGGTATGGTACTGCAAATGCAAGCGTGGCCATCCCAAACATCTTCTACAGGTCGATTGTGCTAAGATGTGCTGAGAGTCCACTCTCCCATTCCGGGTACTTGCGAAGTCAGCTTGCTGCAGCGGCTGATGCGCTGTGGACGGCGGCCTGTGCAAATAAGAGGTACCGTTTGCCGGAGTCAGTGACGGCAAGTCTTGCCACATCGCCACGGGCCTCTGCGCAGCTGACGAGTAAATGTGAGTGGAGCTTCCCGTGAAGAGATTCCTGGGTGCGTCGTTTTTCCCAGTACAGGCAGCAGGGGCACAGGCGCACACACACACACACAACCTGCCCCCCAAGCGTTGAGAAACTCACAGTTTGACGTTGAACTGTTGAGAACAATCTTTGTTGGTTCCAACTTAAACTTCACCCTGGCTCAACCAAGAAAATTACAAAAGAAGCCCAAGCCGTAGCATCAGGAAAAAGCTTTTTCTGCCCAGGCGGCTCCAGCGAACTGGCATCCCAGGCAGCACCCGGAGCGCGTCCTCAGAGGACTTGGGAGCTCTTGGGAGCTCCGCTTCCAGAGATGCGGATGGACAACAGCAGCACGGGGGCCTATGGGCCTGATCGCATCTATCACATCCTCAGTGGAAGTTGCGAGCTGGTTGATGCCGGTTGAACTTGCCCCGGGTGTCTCAGCGTCTCTGATTCCTAGCTTCAGCATTTCTTCAGACCCGCGGAGAGCGGTTAGTAGCTCCAGGCTAGAGATCAGCAGATTCAGCACTCGCGGCGACCGCTCATGAAAGGCGGCATGTAAGTCTCAGCCTTGCACGCCGGTCGACGCTTTTCCCAACTATCGCATCCCGAATGACAGTGTAGCAACCACAGCATCGGCAGGTTACGGCGTCCTGTTATGAGTTGCTGCGCCGCTGTCTGTATCTCCTGAATCCAAGCTGTTATCAAGCGGATCACATGTCTTGCAGCAATATCCATATTGACACAACGGCTGACACTCCTGGAATTTCATGATGTCCCCTGTCTGCGGCACATCAGGATGATAAACCTGCGCAGCTGACATGAGACCAGAATCCCAAAAAAGTCACGGCACTCCACCAGAATTCCGAAACAACGCAGGGGGGCGTGCTCAATCGAAACCTCACTGCTTTTTTTGATATAGGGGCCTCAATACTCGAATAGGGTTTTGGTGACTTATTTTTTGTTTTAGCTACATAACGCTTTAAAGGACCGTAAGGAGACAGTATTTCCAATTGTTCCGGCCTCTCTAGATACACATCTGTGTATGTATATGTACACACACACATGCAGAAACACAAACACACACATTCCAAAAAGCACATCGGTCGGTTGCCCCAGAATCTTGCAGGCATTGCTTTATTTGCATTATTAGCAGTGTTCAATGTTGCCTTTGCAAGACGGCGGAAGGCCGTTCGAACTGCGTCTTCGTCGACGGTGCCCGGCGGAAGTCCCAAAACCTCCATGCCATCATGCTGTGCATCTCATGTTACATGATCCTGTGCTCCGACATGCGAGCTGGCGTTCATGATAGTTATGCATGGTGAGGAGGTAACTACATGCACTGCGGCTACGGTTGGCACACATGAGACCCAGGCAGTGTATGGATCTGCTTGGTTTGCACGAGCCGTCAAGGGCTTGCCGGTGGTGCCGGCGCCTGCATGCAGGGGCAGCTACAGCACACTCGGTAATGAGCACGCCAACTACACAAGGCCTACAGACATAATGATAGGTAATGATAATGTGGTGAGTCACAGAGCTGCAGGAGGCCTCTTCGGTAAGATGACCACGCTCCTTTCAGGGGGAACCCTCTGCAGGATCTTGGTCTGGCCCGGTCTGCCACCAAAACGTTAGGTTTGCGTGTGACGATACATGGGGGTTTCTGAAAATACGGGACCCTAATATAGTACCCCAAATAGTAGGATCCTTATTATACGGACCCACAAATAAGGTGCCTCTTAATTTCGGAAACTCCCATACATCGGCCTGTGAAGCTCCAGGCATGCCAGGCGACGGAGGCAAATGGAACAAAAATGAGAGCACCTCACGCAGGCATATGCAGGGTTTAGGGTTTAGGGTTTAGGGGGCCGTTGGCAGTGCTAGAGACTGTGCACCGCTAGAAGGGTGCGTGGGTAGACGAGGCTAAATGAGGGCTTGCAACACTCCGCACAGGCGTGAGAAACCCTGTCATGTGGGGTGTCGCTCGAAAACAACACGACTGCAAGCCCTCCATCAAATTCTTCTTCCCGTCGCTTGATGGATGCTGGGTGGTTACATGCACGCGCCGGGTCCCACAAACAAGAACAATCCAGGGTCCAGGGGGCGGAAGGTTTAAACACGTGGGGGTTCTCTAAAATGGAGTCCTTTTTACAGGTGCCGTACTGTTTGCGAACCGAAAAAAGACTCGAATTCAAAGAACTACCCACATAAAAAGATCCATAAGAAATACAGTCGGAGCACGTCACGACTGCTCCGGTTGCAGTTCCAGCAGCCTACCAGCAAGTCTGACTGAGGAGCTGGCTCAAAATGGAACGCCTCTGCCGGATCATGGCTGGTGCACGTTGCAAATGCTGCCGGGCGTGGGAGGTTTGCATCGAATCGAGTCTCAGCCATGTGTTTTTGCCATATGTTTGCTATCGTCGCTTCAGGAGAGTGGTAGGGTCATACCTCATGCAACAGCGCCGAGTTGAGACGTGCTTTGCATTCATGATAGTATGACATTTCGTCTCTAGAGCCAAAGGCTAGCGGCTAGCGCACAATGCATCATCAGGCATGCAGAGCACGGAACGATGACGCCCTCACAGGATGTCGTGCTTTCTGGTCGCGCTTTGAGAAACCTATCGGCAAACTACGCCTGAACGAATTCGAGCCAACTGGCCTCATAATTGCTGCAAGAGACGGCAGAGGTCCACAAATGACCGCAAAGTGCCATTAAAGAAAACTACGTCCGGAACAAACGTCGGACAAATGAACGCGCGTTCATCTGAGATCATCGGAGCAGCAGCGTTGCTCCAGGGAAGCGCTTCAGGCTCTGGCGCAGGTCCCGAGATCCGAATGCGTTCCTTGGATCTCCAAGCTTTGCAAGCTCAAGCCCAGGCAGCATTTCCTTGATCGGGTGCAAGGCACTCCAGAAAGCTGCATCCCTTCATAGTTGCTGTCGACAGCCTATCCCTGATTACGGCCGTTATCTCGGAACAGCTGCCGCTCTTGAAAGATGCGCACCGGGTCGTTTGCCTCATCGAAGGCAACCCGTTCCTCGGAGTTGGATGCATGGCAATCACGCTGATGTTTCAGCATGCTCGTTCCTCTAGCACTTCCATCAAAACAAAGCAGACAAGACAAGCGGTGACAGATGGTGATAGTGGAACGGAAGCCAGGTGGCAGCCTTCCAGTACTCTGAGGAGTCCAGCTCCTGCTTGGTCAAGGGCAGCTGTGGCAGGTACTCCACCTGCAGTGTAGGATTTAAGTCGTAGCCAGCCTGTGCTCCACAGCACGTATTGCAAACGTGACTTCTTGACGCAGACAGCGATTGATGCATTGGCAATTTTGCCTCCGTCTAGATCCAGCAAACGGAACGTGTTTGTAGATTCCCGACGAGTCTGCTGCATTCCAGAGCAACTGGATGAGTCCAGCAATTTCGACAGCTTAGTGTCCGTCAATTTGGGCGTGGGGCTATAAGGAAGGGGTCGCGGGCAGTTTCCCTCAAAGTTTGACACGCAAAGAACCAAGCCAGTCTAGCAGCCGCACGGCATGCAGCCAAGACACGTCCTGAGGCTTCACTCCACCAGCTTCCTGAAAAGCAACGCGCCGGTAAAAAACAAGTAAGACCCTCCGGGATCTAGGGGCTCGACCTGGAAAGCCCTTCAGCATACACCCCTCCAACTTGCCAGTAACCTAGGCAGAACCTTATAAAACCGCTGTAGATCCCGGGTCACACGACATCTCATTGCACATGCGAGATTCGTTTGCGATGCGAAAGAAGTCATTCAACTCCTCCAAGCTCTTCCTTCGCACGAAACGCCAGGCGCAGGCGAAAAAGTTCGTTCCAATAGATTATATGTAGCGTATAACATATGACATCCTATATTCCTTTACACTAAAGCTGTATCCTGTATAGCGTATGTCTATTATGTGCTATATGTTATGCACTGCAAATTTTGGAATATGTACTATATGGGGTTTACTATGCTTTATACAAATATTCAAAATTAAATATTGCACATATTCGCTACATGTTGTACACGGTACTTCCACAAAGTAACATGATTTTTTCTGGCATGCTAGGTGTATTATGCTATCTAACAAATATTGCACATCATATATGATGTACTATATGTGGTATCAGTCCTGTACAATTTGCTGGCCACGTCGGCGTCTTTGCGCTCGCTCAACTTGCTTCCTTAGCATCTCCCATAGGCCACATATGATTACAAATCGACAAAAAAAGTCACTCAGCAAGGTGCGCAAATGCCTTCCAAGCGTCGCAGTTCGTTGATGGTCGCCTGGAATTTCCCGGCAGCCTTTCTGGCCTCATCACCCTGAGATCCAAGCACCGTTTCGGAATTACGGTTTAGGGTTAGGGCTTTTTGTTTATCACCGCTTTTCCTGTCCGCAGGGTTCTGTGTTCGGGAATGCCAGGTGGTTAGGGCATAGGGTCTAGTGCGGCTAGGGGTTTCTAGATGTCAAGACCCCAGACCTTTCGGATTCGGGAGTCCCGGTTTGGGTGGCTCTACAACTCATCCGCCGCTCTGGGAGCAAAAGCTGCCTTATGGGGGGGGCGAGCGCTCTCTATGGTGGAGCTGTGAGCATTGTCCGGCGACCTTTCACCCAAAACCCCAAACCTAGGGGTTTAGGCTTTGAAAACCCCGAGCAAGATCGTAGTACCGTAACACTCAAATCCTATTTTGAGAGTTCTCTAAACTAGGGTTCCATTCTTGGGTCTCCAGAATAGTTCGGCACTCTAAAAAAGGATCCCAAATGGAACCCTAAGGTGGAGAACTAGCCATTTGGAGGTCTATGCACCCCGGAAGGCAGGCCGCAAGCCCGGTGTTTCCGGCGAGGCTCGAAACTCGAGTCTGGATCCCACACTTCGAAGCCGACCATCCTTCGACTTTGAACCCGGGAGCCGACAGGAGATGTGCAGGGAGACTCTGAGGGGTGGTCGAGGGTTTAGGGTTTGGGGATGGGATGGGTGGAATGGTGAGACGAGGCTAGAGAAGTGGCTTGCAATGGGCTTCGAGGTTCAGCTGGAAGTCCGGGATGGATTCGGGCTGCTCCCGATACCCTTTGTGCTCTGCAAGGCGACTGGTACATTGAGAATCGAAAGAATTCGTGGCAGTGTGCTTTGCACTCTTATAGTATATAAGTGCCGGACAGGAAGAGCGGTGTAGTCAGTGCACCTCGGTATCTGCATAGATGAGTTGCAAGGAGGGCTGAGACCATCACAAATGCGCTTTTGAAGGTGCCAAAACCTCCACTGTCATGATCTCGTGTCCCACCCCTGTGCGCTGCATGTCGCAAAGTACAGGAAGTGCTTAGAGCTCTTCTCATGCCTTTCGTGACTACCTGCACCGGTGCCTACATCTCTGCACGACGGCCTGTCAGTCAAAAAGATCCAGCTAATTAGTCAAGCAAGATTCTGGAGTCCATCCTAGCAATGGCCTTTGGCCGTAAGCAGATGTCATGAATCTAGGCGAGCGGCGCTCTACAAGCGAGAGTCCGCCTCCAGGCCCTGATCCTGCTCGGCACTTGTAGGCTTTCGAGGTTGCTATAGGAATTCGGCAGCTTCCGCGAAAGAAGTCGTATTACTCGATCCACCGATCCACGAAACGTAGCGGCGTGACCGGGAGCCCTTCCACCCACTCTGGGCTTGTCTGCCGAGCAAAGCAAGGGATGCTTTGGGCCACACATTGTAGAATTCATGGGTATCCCAGTATAACCCAACTCAACATCCATCGCGAGGGAAGTTCGTGCCTGATGTCACGACCCGCTGCAGCTCCGAAAGAGCCTGCCAATGCTACGAATTTGCAGCCAACTCTTAGCTCATAATGAACCAAAATTGAGCAATGCCTGACAAAAGTACAGCGGCTGAATGGCTTGTTCGGGGATGCTCTGTGAAAAGTTTGACGTTCTCGTGCAGAGGCCTGGCCGGCAAGGCACAACCCGCCACCACAGTCTTCATCACTGACCTGCCAGGCGCACGAGACGAAGGCAACAAAACACTCGCAGAATGTCTTTCGCAGCTGACACACACATTGGCCTTGAGACCGTCCCTGGTATCTTCACCGCTTCCCCTGGCATGAAGAGGAAATCTGTCGGACTGCAGCTCCAACATCAACTAATGCTCTCACAATATCTCACAATGACAATAGCCCGCAAATAATGGACATGTGTCTTACAGACGATACGCTGGCCAGCTGCTCGAGATGCACGGCAGCCTAAAGCCACGATGGCCGGCTTGGATTGCACAAAACAACAGGACAGTAAGCAACAAGGGGATACAAGGGGCCGAGCCTTGAAACCAAATCGCCGACATAGAAACGATACCACTCGGCGGATTCCCGAACGGACACGGCCTGGAGGGCAAGTCAGAACATTCCAGAACATTGCTTTGCGTCTCGAGTCCAACGTTCTGTTAAGCCTCTATCGCTCATCAACGCTTCCTTCTTCGACCAGATTCGAACAATTGCCTCACGCGACTCTGACTCTGCCATCTGACATTGATTCGTGAACTCCTAGGACCTAGGATGTCATGGCCCCTTCAGCTCCTATAGTCCGAAGAACCCCCCCTCGAACCCAAACTCCGTGCCGCCTTGCCCTTGTACAGCGACAAGCGCTCCTCCGGGCCTCGTCACTGCAACGACTCGCAGTCTCCCATAAAGCGATCCCTGAAGTCCTGAGAACTCCTAAGACTGCCCTAAAGCCCGAAACATCCCGAAACACAGCTGAGGGCTGAGGCAAGGACCCTGCTGCGCTCGTGCCGGCAGCGGGCAGAGGATGCCGAGAGCCGGCAGCAGCGCTGATCGCCGGGCCTCCGGCGTCCAACAGAATCGGACTTGCAGTGCACTGCAGGCGGGGAGCCGAGTTAAAAGGTCCTTAATGAAACTCCATGCCAGCGCGCTGACCCAGGTCGCGACAGGCTTGAAGTTGAAGGAGGTGTCCGACCCCCATACAAGCCCCAATCGAGCCCCAGACGCACAAAAGTTGTGTGTACAGACAGACAGACAGACAGACAGACAGACAGACAGACAGACAGACAGACAGACAGACAGACAGACAGACAGACAGACAGACAGACAGACAATGCAGAGTACTACGACGTACTTGTTCTGTACATGTATACATATACTATACTATAATATAATATATAATTTTCTACATAATCATATATGATTAGGGTTATACATAACCATATGTGAGTAAAGTTGTGCAACACTCGTCTGTCTAGGTAGAAGCGTATGCAAGACAGTACCTACCATAGACCTTACAGAATGTGCCAGAGGAATGGCTAAATATGTGCCGAGATACTATCGGCGAAGTGAAAACAGTGGTCACGCCGCAGAAGCAGAACAGCAGCAGCAGCGGCTGCACCTTCCGTAGCACTCGACTTGACATTCCGTGGCCCTGTTGCGGATGCCCTTGATATGATAAGTCAATTTTAGGGCATAGGGCTTACTTTTTGGGACAGATCAGACAAGGAAAACGCCCAGCTAACGCCCCATCTTTCTGTGCAGCCGGCCAAAGCGAAGCGGCTGCGACCAGCATGGCGCGGCTTCGCCATGGGTTTTCGCTGCTGGGCTGACATGCAGTTTGTCATACCACCAACAAGTATGCAACACCCCTATGCAAACTTCTGCCTCGGGTTGAGGAGTGATCATGGATGCACATAAGCCAATTACCCTAGCACAACATGGTTAGCACAACAAAAACACTCACATGAATAATCTCACCTGCAAAGCAAGACCAGATGAGCCGGCATTCACCAAGGCTGCCGAATATGCTTCCTTCTGAATGCGCCGTAGCTCGGGGACGGTTTGTTCGTTGACGCACATGTCTGGTATCCTGCACACCTACACGGCATATGTACACAACTAGGCCGTGCAAAGAATCTGAACCCTGACAAGTCCAGATCCCTCGCAAAGCAGAACCTTGCCCAAAATCCTGTTCCACAAGCTCCGGGGAGGTTCAAACATCTCAAAGTCTATTCCATGCGAGCAGGCACTCGGACCGTCTCGCTACCTAGAAAGTTCCACTGTGGACGATCCCCTGTTGCCAAGGGCACTTCGTGCCCTCTTTGACAAAGGAATCCGTGGCCCAGTCAATGCTAGAACCAGTTAGGTTTCTGCAAAATCCTAGGACTACACCTTACAATTGCTTTCGGAAAGCTGCTGGCCACGGAGCATGCGGGAAATCCGAGCTACCCCTCGATTCAGTCATCCGTGAACTCCACGAGCAGCGTGCACTGGCCCTGCTAGCGAGTCTTGAAGCTCCACAGTGAACACACGGCTTAGGCCTTGGGATGCCCGGGCCTTAAGGCCTGCAGCCGCCAAAGTGATGCTCCGATCCTGCGCTGGAGGACTGATGCTGAGATTCGCACAACGGCTAGAACATAGCAACGGAGCAGGCGTGTCGGGTTAATCCTTTTCGCGAAGCTTACGCGAAATCCAGAGCAGATCCAAGCGAAACGTCACTGTGTATCTGAGAAATTCGGCCCGCAAGCCACAGCAGCAAAAGTTCGTCAGCACCGGGGTTGGCACTGGCTTCTGCATGCTGCTGCGACCAAATACACGTGCCGCCGCTGAGACTGCAATGCAAGTCGGCCCCCGCTTCTGCTGGTAGCAAATGAGGCAGCCAAGTTCGGTGCGACGCAACCGGAACGAATGCTCTTCACCACTGCATGGCACCGCAACGGATGGGCTTGGATTGTCGACGTCAGAAACCGAAGTGGTCTGGTTGACAACAACCCGGGTCGACTTGGCTCACTTGTAGCAAGTGATGCACTTCGTAACGAGCGACAACTCTCTGCGACTCCGAAGTGCAAAATTTCGTACTTGGCGTGCCTGTGTGCTCGGAGGAGATGGCATCGTGTGCATCTCTCGCCCTCAATCCTCCCCGGTAGTGCTCCCATGGTCGCGGTCTGCAAACTCCTGCCCAGAAGCACTGACCAAGCCATCAAGGTCCCGAAGGAGGTCACCTTGCACGCAAGAGGTGCAACAAAATTCAACACATTCCAAGTGGTGACTGAAGGGACTGCTCTTGCCGACAAGTCGCGAGCTTGCGAAACCTTCTCAGCAGATGTTGGACGGCTTTCCAGAAAGCCTAGAAGCAAGCTTTGCGCAGAGGCGCCGGTCCGCGTGACGTGGCTCACCTCTGCCCGTCGATCCAGGAGGGTCTTGACCTAGCGACAGCTTCACACGTCTCCCACACATTATCTAAGTATAGTGCATACACGGACGCAGCAGAATGCAGCTGAGGTACAACGGACACCTCACCTCTGCAGCATGCCGCCAACAGAGGAGTGACTTCTATGTCACATGCAGCATCCAGGTCTGCGCAGAAGTCGCACAATGCGTGCACCAATTCGTTGTCGCCTTCCTCGGCTGCGGCCTGAAAAGGACCCCCACAGTGAGAATCCGAAGATGGATGATCTTAGCTGCCGATTCCCGCCTGCAGAGGGGAGACCCCGTAGCTGTCCCGACCATTCACATCACACCTGGCTGTCAAGCTGTATCTGTCAGATGTAAGTTCTAGAGTATGTAAGTGTCATATACAACTTCTGTGAATAACTAGGTTCGAGATATCTGTACGCTGCCCACTCATCCTGGCAGGGTCAGCACTAACAAAGTGGCAGCTGAACCTCTGCGCCACGAGGTAGTCAACCAACTGCAGGTAACCTGATGGGGGCTCACCGGCCCGTTTCGGCCCGGGCCCGGGGTTTGGAGCTTAGGATCCTCAACGCTAAACCCCTACCTGGGCCCCATAAAACCGACCTTTTTTAGGGATCCTTGTTGTAGTTTCAATATATATATATATATATATATACATATATATCCTTAAATTAAAAAAAGGTAGGCCCCGCGGTAAACCCTAAACCCAACGTCGCTGGAGCCTCCACGCACGGCGAAATGCAGAGCGGCGTTGTCATCGGGCCCAAGCACGCAGTCAGCACCTGCCTTGCGCAAGAGCTTCACCTTGACTCACGCATTTGAAGCATACGTGGGCCTACATGAAAGGATAGTGGAGCTCAGTTATTGCTGCTTAATTCCAGAAGAAGATGAGGTCGAGTCTCCATGTTGAGGTTGCCGTGCAGGGCGGCAAAACACATTGGAGTCCAAGCGTTGTCGTCCTGGGAATTCGGATCTGCCAAACTTCTGAGGGCGCTCTCGACCACTGAGATGTCTTGGTCATGGGCAGCAGACAGAAGCATCGGCGACCAATGGCTCGGATGCTGGATCAGGTTCACCTCGACCGGCTGCGGGAAGCCGGCTAGGTCTGTGGCATCGTCAAGAATGGCTTTGTCAAGTAGGATACTTGACAGAAAGCACCCCTGCGCCAGAATCCCGAGGTGCTCCTTGAGCTTCTCGACGGAAAAGGGGGTCTCTTCTGAGAGGATCTGCTGTCGCTCACCACGCAGGCTGCACACGATGATGTGCACCATTGGGTCTCAATCTCTAAACAGTTAGACAATGCGTCGTTAGTTGCATCCTGGCATACACCTGCGGTTTAACAAGACGTCCAGAGAGATACCTAAACCCTAAACCCTAAACCCTAATCACTGAGACTTCCGAGAAGCCTGAGGCCGCTCAGAGAGCAGGGAGAAACAGCAAAGAGTCTGCTTGGTCACGACGAGCTAACAGGCTGTATCACGTGTTACGGCAACTTGACTCTGCAGAAAATGAAGTCTATGGACATTAAAGAGCGCGACCTAACCGTCGAGAACTCCAAGACTTCGGTGTTGCTCGGCAACGCCTTGTTAAAACTGGAAACAACTTTGCTGAAAAGAGTCTCGGAGCTAGATTTGCTGGTTACATTATCCCGTGATGCATACATCCTACGGTCGCACAGCCTTGAAACCCCAATCCCATAGTTGGAGTTTTTGGGTTGGAGGGGGTTAGTTAGTTCTTCCCAACTCACCCCCCAACCCTATGCGCATCTGCAACCACTGAAACCGAGGCCGCAGATCGAAATTGTCTAAGGGTAATCGAGCAGTTGCGACGAGGAAGGCCTCCTGAGTAAGGGGAGACTCTGGTTCAGGCTGGCAAGTTGGGTTCACTGAAGCCTCACCCGCTTAGACCACGGAAGACGATGCGAGAGAAGCAACGTAGGCCCTCAGGCTCAGATGCTCGGATTTGTTCTGTGTTCCTGCCTCGTAGGTGCGCCGCGGCATGGTCTCCACAAGCCGAAACTCGCGAGTCACCAGAGCCTCCGAGAAGCCGTTGCCCTTTCCTTTTCGCTGTCTTGTCACATCAGACTATGCCATATCATGTTGCAGGTGGTCACCTCTGATAGCAGATCATGCATCGGAGTGGGCCATTTACGATTCTCTTGCAGACTGATAGGCGTACGAGCTTAAGACGTCTTCACGGTCTGAGAAACATGGTGTACAGAAAATGCACAGAGGGTAAGGGGCATGGAACATATCGCCACCACGTGGTCCCCACCTCACCACCTTCGACGCAGGCGTAGGCATAGACCTGAAGAGGCAAGGATTCGTCTCTCATGATGCCCGCGAAGAGAATCGAACCGTACCTGGCCAATGCTGTCCTCAGGTCGGAAGGCCCGCTTCAGCCGCCTAAGAGCACATGACGGAACAAGCCGGGCTTGGTCGGATCCATGTTGGGCCTTCCATCGGGAATGCGGATCTGGAACTGAAGCCGGCCAGCTTCGTCAGCGGGGGGCCTCGGTGGGTTGACATGCTGAGAGCTTCCCACGGCACACGAAAACTGCTCATCCTCAGGCTCGTCATTGCCAATCAGAAAGCATACCAAGATGCCAACAAACACAGGAGTCAGGAGCCAGGCAGTCGGAATGCCTTCCTCTTTTATTTCACGGTGGGCACTCTGGTCTTCGCTTGCTACGTCTCTTGCCAGAAGGCCAGCGTCATATCGTCATATCCGTCGGGAGTCAAACTTGCCGATTCGGCCCATGACCATGGCGGAGGCGTTGCGGCCAGTCGCGGGGCCCTGGCTCAGCACCGCCTCCTGACACTCTGGAGACTGGTTCCGTAGGGTGTCGGCACACCTCTCGTCCAGACTGTGCTCAGCAATAAAGCTTTCAACAAGCTCCTGCAGTCTCTCGCCGTCTGGTGGGGGCATCGTAAGCTCTATAGCAGATGCGCCAAACGCCGGATCCTTCTGTGCCTTCGCTATCCTGCCCATGACCATTGCTGAAGGATTCCGTCCTTCAGCTGGGCCCTGGCTAATTACGGCACGCTGCACCTCTACTGGTAGGGCCAGAAGCGCGTCCCTGCATTTTGTATCTAACGCATTCTCTGACACAAAGTCCTCCACGAGGAGTATCCTGGCCTCATCGAAGGGCTCACCAGAGTGCTCATTTCCGTATGTCGCAGCTGGTATCCTTGTCGGGTAGCTGGGAGGAGGGGGTGTCGGCCGCGGTGTTCGCGAACGTTCCCGGAGGAAGCCCGTCGGGGCACCTACGGGCAAACCTGCTCCCCGCATGATAGGCATAGGAGCGCGGTTACTTGGGGCATGGCCCTGAAGGGCATCCACGGTTGCCTGCAGCTCTTGGAGGTGGCTGGCTTGCAGCTGGATTGTCTTCTCAGCCTGGAAGAGGCGCCGTTCCAGGCGTTCGAAGTCACCGCGGGCCACCATCAGCTCATCGCTTCGGAAATTACTGGTTAGAGGCTGACCAGACGTTCCTCGTCACTTGGACCGACAAGGTCGGAAGACGGAAAAACGGGGGGGGCTTCTGACTGCTTCCAGAACACATGCAACAAACAGCCGCACTTCCGCGGGAGCGCGGCTCCGGCGTGATGATGCTCTTGGCCTGGTTCAAAAGATTTGAAGTGTCATCGGAATCACTTTAGTCATGTGTCTATCGCACCCCTCCTCACCTCTGCACACCACTACGACGACACATCGCAGTTTCAGCAACCCATGCCTCATCCAGCTTCCGTGAAAGGTTATCCTGACGCGCCAGCTCAGCTGCTTCTGCCTGGACCACAGCTGGAGACTTGTGTAATCTTTTGGCCGATTCATGGCGCATGATTCGCATCCCGCCTGCTTGGCTTTGGACTCCTGCTCTTCAGCTTCTTGCTTCTTCCGCTCCTCCTCCTGCTTTAGCCTTGAGGCAAGCAGGCCACAGTATATTAGGAGACAAAGGCTGGAGAAAACAGGATCTGGCTTCCCTGCACTTGGCGACAAGAACTGATTATGTGGAGTCTTGGTGCCGTGCAGCGCTGAAAAAAATCTACTCTACTACTACTACTACTAC